CCTAACCAGTTTGGCTCAGTGGATAGAGCGTCAGCCTGCGGACTAAAGGGTCCCAGGTTCGATTCCAGCCAAGGGCATGTACCTTGGTTGCGGGCATATCCCCAGTAGGGGATGTGCAAGAGGCAGCTGATCGATGTTTCTAACTTTCTATCCCTCTATCTTCTTCTCTGTAAAAAATCAATAAAATATATTTAAAAAAAAAAAAGAAACGTCCCTAACTTTAACATGGAATTGTGAAAACCCGTGTTATCCCTTGGTAGTTCTTAATGCATTGCCTTTTCAGACTCACTTCCCTTACTTTACTGCATTGGCATTGTACATCGTTTATATCTATGTAGGCATCTAACTCTTACTTATTTTACTTTTTTAAGAAAGTATTTGAGATGGCCTAAAAGATTATATACAATAAAATAGTGGTCATTCAAAATTCCAGCTATAGTGATACATAGAATAGCCATGACTAGAAGAAACAGCCACCTACTCATTTTACCAAGATAACTGATGTAGGGGCAATAAATGGTTATATAATAAACCTAAGCAAACATCAGAGTCTCAAAGTAGGACACTGAGGGTTTGAGGAGGACAGAACCTGTTCCTGCTCCATGTAGAACACCCATGAAAAGAATGTGCCAAACAGGCTCCATAGCCAGGCACCAGGCATTATCAAGGATTCTGAGTTAGTATTACTTTCATATGCATATGCCTTAACTCCAATGAAAGGCTTGGGAATTTTTGGTGCTTGTGGTTTCATGTATACAGCAGCATCTTGTCATTGGTTTCTTTTGTCTCAGCCAGGACTGTGCTAATCATATATGAGACAATATGAAACTTGTTGGGTTACCACAGAGGCTCTGACTTTGGCATATATGTGGTCTCAGTTAGGCACTAATCCAAAAACTGAATGTGCTTTTATGATAGAGGAGACGGTTTGCTGAGGTTGAAATGGTGTGGCTTTGGTCTTAAATCACTCGACACTGTTCGTGGTCTCTGGCTGTCCTGTTTACTCTGTCACATCATCAGCGGGAAGTGAACCATTTTGCCGTTGGCAGCTGAGATAAAGCTCGAGGGATTTTTGGTTATGGATATTCCAGATGATTGAGAAAATAAAATGCTTTTAGAGACAGCCAGATGGAGTGAGGGGGACAACAGACAGGGAGTCGGAGGCTGCGATGCCCACCTACCTAGTCACTGGTGGACGTTCTGGGCTTCAGTTTCCTTGTCTGAAAAGTGAGGCTCCTACTACCTTTCTGTTGGCCTCCTGGGGTTGGTTTAGGGAGCAAATGAGATCAAGCGCATGAGCTAGCTTTATAAACCATAAAGTAGCTGCTCACATCCTTTTCATAATAGCATTCAAAGTGTAAAAAGGAATAAAACCGAATCTTGATGCTAATTTTGGTAGAGGAAGAAAAATACCTTTCAAACTATTAATGGTGCAGTTTTCAATTGCATCATGTTCCAACGATTTCTTTGAAAGCTGGTTTTTTAAAATCGGGAAAATATTTCTTCAGCCAACAATGGCATGATTGATGGCAAAGTTCCCTTGCTAGCCACAAAGCCTTTTGAACTTCTGATGCACCAAAACAGGAGTTCTGTGGTAGCCTGTGATCTGGCTCCTCTGATCTGGGGCAGCTCTGATGGCTGAATGCCTCCTGGAGCAGAATCTGGTGAGTTTCCTAGGGCCTGGGGACGCTGACGGGTAAATGGTACAAAGGGAAGAGAGGGGGTCATCTACTGGGAAATGAGCAGTATACGGAAGCTCAGGGGGGCCACCAAGCCCTCCCTACTTGTGTCCATCCAGTGCGTAGAGAATGCTGGGAACTGGGCCACATCTGCTGGGCCTGTGTTGTCTTTCATATAAGTCCACTGATCTAAATTGGGGTGGGGGGGGAGGATCTTCATTTTTAAGATTTCTTGTGTTTACGAAGGTTTTTTAATTAATTAATCATTGCAAACATAATTTGAAATTGAGAATAAAGTACCTATAATCCATTTGAAAATAATAGATGCCAAATCTTTTGCCTTCTAGTTTTGTTGTGTTAAAATGCTTGTTTGAGCCTCTATAAACCATCTAATCGTGTCTCAATATAATTTTTCTTTTTAAAATGGGACTCCCCATGTTGACTGCATAGTGAGAACTTGAGGCTCAACTAATTCAATGTGAGATAGGACAGCTTTGCCAAGCTCACCAGGCATTTTACCTGGACATTCTGATTTTTTTTTTTGGGGGGGGGGGCATGCTAGGACCACTTATGTCCAGGAATCTGGAGAAATACAGAGAGAAGTAACTGCCTCAGAAAAAAAGCGAGCACCATGAAGTTGTAGAGAGTAGCTCAGTCATTTTCCAGCAGTAGATTAGTCACCAGAATTACACTGGAATGTTTTTTCCTGGATATATACCAAAAATGTCAGTCCCCTTTTGTCCCAGACATCATCTAATAACTTCTACTAAAGAAGAACACTTAACATTTTATTAATCCTCTTTGTGGATTGTCAATTCCACATTCTTCTCTTTTTTCTTCCCCCCACTGGTTGCCTTCTGACTCAGTATAGCTGTCCCAAGGGGCTGCTCATTAAGACATGGGAAAAATAAGAATCGAAACTCATGTGTTTCAGTTTGCTACATCTGGATGAGTAGCTAAGAGGTTGGGAATTGTTCCAGTTAGGAAGCTAACCAAGCATCTAACTCTTCCTTCTATTTTTTTTATATAAAGTATTTGAGATGGTTTAAAAGATTATATACAATAAAATAGGCATGTGCATAACCAAGTAGAGTCCAGGATATTATGAATTAGAGAAAAAAGTTAAGAAAGAAACAGATACATTTTTCTAAGCATAAGGCTTGGACTCCGGTGAACTCCTGCAGGCCCAGTGGGTGGGCTTTCCTGGAGGCTGGAAGCAAAGACTGCTACAGAGCACACGGCTCATTAATGATTTCCGCAAATTTATCTCTGTTAAAAGTTGGACCGAGGTTGAGAGTTAAGTGGGTTGACTTGGAATTCGCCTCTACTGTTACCACAGTATTTAGCTAGCCTCTCCTCCCACCGATCTTTTTACATTTTTCCCAGAAAAAGCCACTTGACTGGGCTCAGCATTCACCCCATACCCACACCCGCAGTGAGACGGGTGGCTCACAGCCAGCCTCTCAAAATGCGGGGCCTTCAGGGCTGCATCTGCCTGGTGACCTCCTCCTAACCCTCCTCCCCCAGGGTGCAGACTCTGGTTTGCCACCAGGCCTCTGCTAATCCAGGCACTCTCTTGCCAGAGGCTCCTTAAAGGAGAAATGCCTCTCTTTCAGTCTCCCTGGTCCCTTCATCTCCCTCCCTCCCCCACTTTCTGTCTTTATCCTCCCCTGCTCTTCCTCCTTTTGTGTTTCAGCCAGCCAGCTTTTCGAGGGCATATTTGTTGTCCTCTGAGTAGAAAGAGGAACAAGAAATGGTTTGTGCCCTAGAGGAGCTCATCATGGGAGAAGGTGCATGAAACAAGTAGCTATGATTCTGTGATAGGTGAGTTGTGGGTGTGAACAGATGGTTTGTTAACCTGGAAGAGGATGTGATCAACCACTGATACATCTTCATGAGGAAGTGAGCTTCAGGTTGGTCCAGAAAGTGAGCTGGAGGTGAGCAAACTGGAGAAAGGGCATGGAGTGTGATGGAGGAAGACATTCTGGGCAGAGGCTTGGAACTGTGACATGACAAGGGCATTGTGTATGGTGCAGAGTCTAAATGGTGAGGAGGAGGAGGAGGAGATGGACCTGGAGAGGTGAACTGTAGAGAGTGAAGCGCCTTTAGAATGTGGACTTTGACCAATAGGCCACCAGAAGTCAGAGGAAGTCTTTGAACAGGGAAGGTTGGCTCTTGAGATGCTCCCTCTGGGAGACACTGTGGGGAGATGAGCCTGACAAGGCAGAGATGGGAAGGAGCCTGATCAGTGAGCTGTAGAGTTTGGGAAAGAGATGAAGTGGCTTAAACTGAACCAGCGACCTGGTGATGGAGAGAAGAGGTAGACCAGATGACTATTTGGGTATGACAAGAGAAAGAGGAGTGCCTCCTTCATATAACTAGAAGGAGATTTGGGACTTGAATCTCCATCATTTGACTCTGAGACCAGTGATCTCTCTTCTGCATTTTGGATGTGAAGTCCCACAACAAAGGTAGGGATGAAACCCAGGATTCTTGAGCTGTTGTTAGTTAATTGGCACCTGCAACGCCATTCCCACATCTCATCTCATTGAATCCTCACAACTTCATGGCAATTATTACCACCTCCACTTTACCGATGAGAAAAAAATGTGGTCTGGGGGGTTAACTAACTAACCCAAGCTAATGAGTGGTGGGGCTGGAACATGGCCAGGCCATCCAACTCCTGATCTGACTCTCTTAACTAGTAACCTGACGGTACTATAGTATAAGGACAAATCACAGTGCGTATTAAACTTATTAGATAACAACTATGTTAGTTTTATGGATTTACTAAGTTGTTCTCTTCTCTACTTTTAGACAAAGGCTAAAGTAGATAGCTCTCCTGAACATTTTTTACAAAAATAAGACAAATTTTCAAAAAATCAATACTTGCCTCTTAGAAGAGAATGAATGAAACTAATGGTCTTAAATATTCTTTGGCCACAGCATTCCTTGGTGCTACTTACATGACTATGGGACAAGACGTTTCTTATTGGTGGAACTGATATGGCACGTTGCAGAGTCACTAAAGATCTTATTTCTGTTGACAAACTCAGATGATGATTTCTGTTACCCTGGGGCTTTGGTATATTAATTGATTATTAACATGAATATTTCATTCTTTACCTTTGAACCAGTGCTGGCTTTCTTTGTATTCATTTCTTGGTTTTCTTGTTATTCTATTTGTGCGTAGGCCCACGTTCTCTAGTGGGAGATGCATAACAAATATAATGAAACTTATGGGATGAATTGTGCTGTGCTTATCAGTGTTGCTATATTTTCCAGTTTTTAAAAAAAGGCACAAACATGCTTTTATCCTAGATGACTGCTACTTTGAGAAACTTGGTTGATTCACCCCTAGCAAGAAGTAAGTTGCTGAGCATCGGCGCCCTGGCCCAGCTCTGCAGGGTGATGGGACAGTACATGAGTGACAAGGATGTCTGCACCAATATTGCCAGAATATTCAGGTAGGTAGACTGAGCAACAAGGTAGCCTTACAAAAATGCCAATGCTTGGATTTCAGGTTATCCTGTGTGTGACTTGCAAGGAATCCTATTTTTGCTTGCTTCTTACTTCACCTAGCAGCAAAGCTAAATCTAATGGCCCAAGTTTAAAATAAATGATTTACTAGTAAATCCATGACTCCATTTCCTATGTATTTCTAATATGATTCTAAACTCATTGATTGTAAGTCACTTTAGTTCTTTGGTGAGTTGTTAGTTGTCCTAGTGTTCTTACAAAACAGACAAAACAAACAAAGATTTCTGTTAGTTTATTGGAGATGAAGAACTATTTCCAAAAACATGGCAAAGTTTCTGATATACTTGGAAACAATACTTTTGTAATCTTTTAAGGGTTTTAACTCCATATGGAGATCATTGCTGAAAAAGTCTGATCTGACAACTTGTAATAGAAGTTTTATTTCTGTTGTTTGGCTGAACTTTGGTTCACACATAAACTGGTCGTGTCCACACTGTACTGCAGAACTGATGATCACCTGAATCCAGTTTGCCTCAAAGCACGATGTCAAATTTCAGAACCATCTTTAAAGTATGCATTTATTCTTCCTCCTCACTGCTCTTTGCCGGTGTTTTTACATAATGATCCTTCTCAAGAGACCTGACCCTTTCTTGAACTCTAGTACTGTAGTTGTTTTAAAAACTAGAAAACTTCCTGAAGACTGAGTTGGTGATTGACCCCGGTTTGAGAATGTGACATCAGACTTGATCTCGTAGCGCTGCACTTTCCTGAGCTTTGTTCTGGGTACTTACAACTCCCATTTAGAAGCGCTGTACTGGCAAATGATCAAGTTATTTTTGTGTATGGTGGCATCTGGGGATCCAATTTAATTTTTCTTCCAGATGAATAGTCAACTGTCCCAGCACCTTTAATCAACTACACCATCTTTTTTTCCCACTGATTTTAAATGTCTAGTCAATCAAACACAAGGTTCCACACACTTGTAGGTCTGTTTCTGTGCATTCATTTGGTCTATTCTCAGACCAGCAGACAATGTTATACTATTACAGATTTAATTTGCCTGGCTATAAGATGAATCCATCACTTCTTTTCTCCTTTAAAGTCCAAATTCTTCTCTTCTCTTCTTTATGAATTGGAGAATCAGCTAAGGTCCATGATAGGACCTTTGGGGTTATTCTCGGACCTATGTAGAGTAATTGGGGTGGGAGGGGGAAGATTGACATCTTTATGATACTGAGTCTTTCATCCATAAACATTTATGATGTCTTCTTTTTCTTTATATCTTTCACTTCACTTACAAGTTTAATTCGTTCCGTGATGGAGCTCGTAACTCAAATTACTCGTATGTCAAATCAAAAAGTGAACGAGTGAGACACGTGATGCTGGGCTGATGTTGTGGCGTTCGCTGTGACATTCGCTGCGCCAACTAGCGGTGGGGTATCTGAAGCTGGCTCGTAACCCGAATTTTAGCTCGCAACTCAAAGCAAAAAATCGGCCGAGAGACGGCTCGTATCTTGAAAAACTCGTTAGTCGGGACACTCATAAGTCAAGGCCCCACTGTATATCTTTCAATAACATTTCATAATTTTCTCTAAAAGTATTTTTGCACATATTTTGTTAGATTTATTTCTTCATAGCTTTTGCTGTGATTATGAATGTAATCTTTTAAAAAATTGTTTTCTAATAGGTTGTTGCTGGTATATATGAATAGTATTAATATTTGATTATTAGGTATCCATGGATCTTGATGAATTTTAGATGTAAGAGTTTATAGATTCTCTTGGAGGATAATGTTTTCCCATTTATTACAACTCCTCTTCCATGTCCCCAACTCTTTCTTCTCAGATTGCTTAGGATGCCCCATACAAAGTTGTGAGAGTGTTTGACCTAGTGCCTTTATCCTGACTTTAAAGGAAATATTTTTGTGGTTTTACCAGTTAAAAACAATATTTGTTGTAGGTTTTTATAGATACCCTTTAGAAGGCTAAGGAAAATTTTTGTCTATGAAGGGCTGTTAAATTTTCTTAAATGCTTGTCCTGAATCTATGTTGTGTGGTTTTTCTTTTAAAAAATTTTAATGTAGTAGATTACATTAATAGATTTTTTCATGTTAAGCCATTACATTTTGCTAGGTTTGGTTCACTAACATGTAGTTTAGGATTTTTCATCTATGGTCATGAGTTAAATTGACCTGTACTTTTCATTGTCATATTGGCCTTATCTGGTTTTCATGTCAGGTTTACACGAACCTCATAAAACAAGTTGGAAAGTATTTTGGGGTTTTTGCTTTTCTAGAAGAACTTGTGAAAATTAAACATCTTTTTCTTGAAAAGCTTATAGAACTTGCTTGAGAAGCTATTTTATCCTTGTGTGTATGTGTGAATATTGTTGACTACTGAGTCACTTTCTCTATTGGTCAAGTACCTAACCACATTTCCTATTTCTCTTTGTGTCAATTTAAAAAAAAATTTTTTTTCCTATGAATTTGTCTATTTTATCTAAGTTTTGGGGTCAAAGAAACATGAAAATAAAAAAGCACTTAGATACATTACAAATACTACAAAATACTACCACTCAACATTTTGGGATATTGTCCCAAATATCCTCTTATCCATCTCTAATTATGTCCTTTTTTATTTATTTTACTTGTTTAACAAATACTTGATAGTGCCTACTACATGCCAGGCAATAGTCTGAGTGCTTGCCAACTACTAATTGATTTACTCCTTAGAACAACTTTAAAAGATAGAAACTGCAGTGATTATCCTCATTTTACATGTGGAAACCGAGGCGTAGAGAGGTTTGGTAGTTCTTCCAGGGCCACACAGCTAGCAAATCACAGAGTTGCAGTTCAAACCAGGTATCTAGCTCTAGAGGTCATACATTTCACCACTATTTACACTGCCTCTTTATTGTTAATATTGATTTTCATTCCTAATATTGATTATTTATGATGTTTCTCTTTTTTATCAGTCTTTCCATTTTTTTACCAGTTTTTTTGCAGAACCGATAGATTTATTGATCCACCCTACTGCATATTTATTTTCTTTCTTATTGCTTCTGTTCTCATCCTTATTAATCCATTTTATCTACTTTCCTTGGGTATATTTTTCTTCTAACTGTTTTAGTTAGAAACTCAATTCTTGTCTTTTCAACCTTTTAAGGCTTTATTTTTTTTCTAACTACTGCTTTAGTTACATCCCAACAATGTTAATTGGTAGTATTTTGTAGTATTTATAGTGTACTAAGTGCTTTTTTTTTTCATGTTTCTTCGACCCAAAAAGTTATGTGTTTTTAAATTTCCCAAAGTGTGTTTTTAATGGATTTTAAATATTGATTTCTAATTTTATTTCACTGACCAGAGAATATGATCTGTGAGATACTAATCCTCAAAAAAATGTACTGAGACGTGTTAATGTCCTGGTACACGGTCAAGTTTTTAAAATAGTAATGATGTTTTACCTATTAATCTATCAATTAATGAGAAATTTATGAATATCTCCCAATTTGATGTAAGTTTGTCAATATTGCCTTGTTGGTTTTGTTTGTTTGCATGCTTGCTTGCTTTAGAAAATTTGAAGCTATTCTTCTGGTCCATTTTGCCTGATATTAGTATACCCCTAACAGCCTAGTGTGCACCCCTAGCCCAGTGGTTGGCAAACTCATTAGTCAACAGAGCCAAATATCAACAGTACAACGATTGAAATTTCTTTTGAGAGCCACATTTTTTAAACTTAAACTATATAGGTAGGTACATTGTTATTAACCTACCTATATAGTTTAAGTACTGTTGATATTTGGCGCCTCCCCTGCGCTGCGTATCCCACAGCCCGCCTGCGCCACGTCTTCCGTTGCCCGACCGACCAACACCCCCCCACTTCTTCTAACGCCACTTCCTCAAAATCGACTTGCCCAGGCCGAAAACTGACTTCTGCGCATGGGCCACGAAGTTTCAATCGCACTGTACGTGCGCGCCCGCACGTGGTATTTTGTGGAAGAGCCACACTCAAGGAGCCAAAGAGCCGCATGTGGCTCTCGAGCCACGGTTTGCCAACCACTGCCCTAGCACATTTGCTGCTGGTGGGGTCCCAGGGGATTCACTGGTTGGTATCCAACCAGATTTTGTCTAAATTTCTTGGCTTGCATTTTCTGGACCATGATTTTGTGGGTTGTGAAAATTTACACTGTATGCATGTGTTACAGGCCTCAGGTCTCTGTTTATCCAAGAACTTTCTTTGTTTCCCCACTCCATGCCCCCAGAGCCTACAGCAGACAGCAAACCTCCCGAGGCTTCTCTGGACTGGTGTGTGGACTATTTCAAACTCTCTTCATGCACTGGGCAATGCTTTGAAGATTTGCATTTAAAGTTACACAATGTGTACTTGAAATTTATAGAAAAACAAAGTTTATTTTTATTTTCCCATTTGGCATTTCTGCAGCAAACTTACTCCTTACCGTGACTGCTGTATTGCCTTGGCCAACTATTCCAGATGCTACGCCTTGTTTTTGAATCTGATAAACAAATATCAGAAGAAGCAGGTCAGTTCTTCGTGCATTTAATTCTTCAGTGTGTCTTTGTATCGGTGTATTCATGTAAGCCCATGTTGAATGACTTGATGTTTTAAATGTAAAGGTTTCTATTAGAAACTTCCATTCGATGTGTAATGGGCTGCCCCCCAGGAGGCAAAGAGTTGGGGAGGGAGTAGTTTGAGGCAGAAAAAGCCTCAGTAAAATGTCCATGTGGTAGGAGGATTCCTGATTTAGGGAGGGGGTGGGTGGACTACCACAGCTTTGTTCTTCCCCTACATGAGAATCACCATGGAGTGAGGTGGGGGTGCACTGGTTATTTCCAGACCCCGCCCCAAGCCTACTGAGTCAGATGGGTGGGGAGGGGCCTGGCCATCTGCAAGTCAACAAAAACTGTAGGGACTTCTGATGTAAATTGAAGTCTGGGATATCCCTACACTTGGTATACTCTAAAAAGTCTTCTGGCACTGAAATTCTCTATTTCTTTGACCTTATATTTAGAAAATAAAATTTCTACATAAGTATTTAAAGGAAATAATTTGGTTTTAATGAATTGGGCAAAACCATGTATAGTTGTTTAAAAAAGGAAGAACTCGCCCAGCTGGCATGGCTCAGTGGTTGAGCATTGACCTATGAACCAGAAGGTCATGGTTTGATTCCTGGTCAGGGCACATGCCAGGGTTGTGGGCTCAATCCCGGGTAGGGGGTGTTCAGGAGGCAACCTGTCAAAGATTCTCTCTCATCATTGATGTTTCTATCCTTCTCTCTCTCTCCCTTCCTCTCTCTGAAATAAAAAAATAAGGAAGAACTCACAAAGACTTCTCCTTAATAAAACTATAATACTTAGTACAAATATAAATTTATATTATAAGTTTTTGAATAGTCATTAAATGCAGTCCAATTTTATTCACCTTTATAAATGATCAAAGTGACATCAACTCTTTATTGGAGACATTTTATATACATGGTTAATTTTCAAAATCATATAGTAAATTTCATCAGTTAACAATTAAGTTACGTTTATGCTAAGAATATTTGTTTGTTATTATTATATTAACCATATCAAAGCCACTTCACAACATAATTCCTATTTGCCAGAAATAGCATTAAGCTTATTTTTACTCAGCCAAGTACCGAACTGGGTAAAAATAATGAAAATGATAAAATTTCTCAGATTTTACACTATTATTAACGATTTGTTAAAAGGTTGCAGGTCTCTTTGTGGTTATATGAATGACAGATAAAATTCTATGCTCTTATATATCATTACTACATTTTAAGGATGATAAAAGCTTGCTTAAAGGGTTAAGTTTTTATTTAATTGTTAAAAACTGATTTTCAAATATGCATTTAAGTTTCTGATTTTGAGTATTTGGCTTACAAAGGCTTTCCTATGTATTAAATTACATGCTTTGAAAGATTTCAAGGTATAATTTCAAGGTAGAATTTGCCTTGTCAAAGAATGAGTCTGACTAATTTACCTTAAAGTATTCACAATCTCCTGTTAATGTAAATATCCATTAAGCATTTATAATTTTAGATTTTGGTACAATATATTATCAGAACTAAAATCTTTGGACAAGTGAATTAATCCCATGAAAAGCTTAGGCACACCTACTGGTTTCTTTTTTAGAGAAAAAACTAAAATGGTAGAAATGCTAAATACTATAGCATTGAAAGTATTATTTTAGATTATAAAAAAGATTTAGTTGTGGATTTTACATTGTAATTTTCTGTTGTGGATTTACTTCATGGTCTTTCATTGTAAATTTATTTTATCATCATTCTTTTTTTGCTCTGGTGTTTTGATCAGACATAACTTAGATGACGGTTACTGGAGAAAACCACTTTGCCTTGCACTAGAATTTTCAAATGTGGATGAAAGAAAACACTTGTTTTTAACAGTTTGATTTCAAGTTGTCATAACTTATAAAGAAAGAACACCCATCTGTTGAGTAGTGACAAACAGCCTTATGGCATTACTAATAGATACTATTTGTCTCTCTGATTGTAGCTTAGATGAAAGCCATGTTTAATAAACAGACAAAAATTCTGGTCTCTTGCCAATATGAGACACTTGATGTGTCAGTATGGGAAGGGTATGCTTTTTCTGGTTCCAGAGACTAAATGGCTTAAATTCTAATTGGCATAAAATTTAGCACACTTCTCACTGAACTACTTTTCACCTTAGTCCAATAGTTATCTGCAAAGCAATATTAGTGTTTTAACGCCATATTTTTCTCTATTGATTTACATTATAATTTTGTGTTCCTATTAAAATTATTTTGATCCAAAGAACAAAGAGCACCTTACAAACTATGTTTGGTAACATGCTGTTTATTCAGAACCATCAAGAAAATTCATAACGTATCCCCTTAATCACCAAACTTATTTCAATCATTGTGGTGAAAATCATATTTAAATGTATTACAAAAGACATTAAAAATAACTTAGCCTCGTCTTGATGCTCCAGAGGATCTTTGTCTACACTGGGAGCACGAGTCTATCCATGAGGTTCTTTAAACGTTTGTGTCTTCTTCCTGTAGATTTCTCTCTCTTCCCTTTCTCTTGGTTGTTTCCTCTGCCTTTGGTAATGGTTGCCTGCCTTTGGAAATTACGCATTTGCTTGCAATTACCAGGTGGACATCATAACCACATTTGTTAAAAGTAACACCTAAAAAGTCTGAAATAATATTGAATACAAATAGACCCTTCGTGAGAAGGGCCTAAGAGACTCTGATGAAATTTCCCTCAAAAGCAGGTTTATATTTCAAGATGCACATCCCCTTCTCTGGGAAGCCTTTCAAGACCAGCCACTTCTTCTCTCATCAGTGCCTCGTTTTAAAGACTTTCATGCAGCTAGTACACCCAGCTAGTATACCCGGAGCTAGCATCCAAGCAGTATGTCCGTGATGTTAATAACCACATCACTGCGATTAAGAAAAATTATGCAAAACTTAGAAACAGGGTGTGGCCTGGGAGGCTGCATGTCGGGACAAAGTCACGCTGGGGCGCTGTTTCGTCGGCAGGGCTTATTCTTGAGGAGAATGTGTCTCTGTTTAAACTTGCCATTTGGAGCCCAGACACCAGAAAGTTACACATTAACTTGTAGATTTCTCTCTGGTAGACAAGATAACCTCCAAAGTTATGGTTTTATTACCCTGTAGGCCAGCGATTTCCAACCTTTTTCATCTCATGGCACACGTACACTAATTACTGAAATTCTGCAGCACACCAAAAACATATATTTTGCTGGTCTGATAGTAAAAATAGGTATAGTTTTGATTCATTCACACTGGCTATTGTGTTGGCTGTTGTCATTCTTTTATTTGGCAATCTGAGGAAGAAGAGGTCAGTGCCCCTGACTGAAATAAATAGTCAGGTATATTGCATGTTTTAAACATTCTTGGGGCACACCGGTTGAAAATCACTACTGTAGGCTATTAGCCAGGTGTGTATCTAACCTAGTAACCTTATCCCACATGCTTTTTAGTGCTTATAAACACCCAGTTCTTTGATTGTTCTTAGAACCAACTTTATCATGGTACTGGATCCTTCATAGATGAGATGATTTTTTAAATGTGTTGATTTATATTTGTACAAAGATGATGTTGTTAGCATTCCTAAAATTATACTTTGGCTTTACGCTGTCTTTTACTTGTACTAAAGAATGAAATATTACCATTTTGAGCCAGCTTTGTTTTGTTTGTTGGTTTTCTTTGTGCGAGAAATAGATGTATAATTTATATTTTCTTCAAAACCAAACTATTTTAGAAGAGCTGGGAAATTTATTCAGGCTACAAGGAAGTTGGTAGGTGTCCCAACTACTTCCTAATATCATTAACCAAAGCTCCCATAGGTCTTTATAAATACATATTTCTTTTGTGATTCTGCAAGTGGTTATCACTTGTGTAGCTGCCTTACTTACTAGTGGGAGTTCCTAAAGGACAGAGGCCCTGTCTTGATACACCTGAGATGATGCTTGACATTGTAGGCTCATGATACGTGTTTAAAGAATGAATTTTGAGTATGTAAAATGTGTTGAAGTCTGTAAAGTATCATAAAATATTTCTTATAGTACTCTAGTACTTCTTCCATAAATATTTACTTCTCCTTAGTTTGGAGGAGGAAAACATAATCCCCCACCCGCCACTTTTCCCATTGGTGGGCTGCCTTACACAACAACAAAATCGAAGTGATGGATTTTAAATTACTTCAGATGAGCACGGCACCTTCACATTCCCCTGGCCCAGGGGGCCAGTGGAATACGATTTGATCTTCCCCCTTTCCTAGAAAGAAAATTAATTTCCAGAAATTCTACACCATGATCTGAGTCTATTCATCTGTGGTGGCTGAAAACTTGGCTACACCTGAGGTTTACTTGAACAGTTGAGGCTTGGGACTGGCCTTTGAAACATACATCAGCTCTCCGGCAGCCTTTTAAATAGAATGATCGCTTCCTGTAACTATTTTTGTTTCAGCCCCAGGAAACGTTTCTGCAGCACTAACTGTGGGTTGCAGACATAAACCTCAGAAGCTTTGTAGTCTCCTAATAGACACAGCTACCACCAAGTGCCGAAACAGTCTCTATACCTTGTCGTTGTTCTGAGGGCTCAGCATTGCCTCTGTCTTAAAAGCCTGAAGACTACATTTGGAATCGGCGGAGATTTCCTTTTCCTGAGACGCACTGTTCAGTTAAATCGTGTTAATGGCCAACTATGTTTTCAAAGAACAGAAGCAGAAACCTTAAAAGAAAAGAAACCCCTGTCTAGTAATAAATGAAGCATCTCACACAGGCCTCTTTCAGTGACCTTATCATCTGGGTGAGGAGCTCCGCAGCAGGGTGACCAGCTGCTTCCACAGGGGAAATCTTGCTCGGGACCAAGTGAGCACAGGGCCGCTGGCCACGGGAGAGGTAGACTATCCACTCCCCCATCTGCTGTTGTTTCCCATGAACAGAAAAGAACGTATGCGAGAAAATGCCAAAAGTAACCTTTTTCCTGTTTCTTGAC